AAATGTTGGCATAGAGATTATGGGGAAATGTTTTTCAGGTCAAAAACAAGCAAAGAAATTAAGGGGTGTAAAAATAACCTGACTAAAGATGTTATGGATACATGGGGTACGTTAAAAAACAAGATATTTCCAGGAGTCTCTTCCCCAACCCCAACAGTTTTACTGGAAATTTTTCCAGAGAACCTGAGAATTAAACTTAAGTATTACAAATTAGTGGAGGTGGAAACCGCTCTTTCATGGAAGGAATGGATACAAAATTAATTAAACAAGTTTAACAAGTTAGAAGAACAAGGTGTCCTGAATTTGTTTGAGAGGGAAAAGCTGTATATTAGAAAAATGACTGGCTAAGTAAAAATCCCAGATGTAGAGCACTGAATAAATACGAAGAATGGCTAAGTAAACTTAAAAAGCAAGAAATAATGAGGAAAGAATTAATTGGGAAAATATATAATGGATTAATTGGTGAAGAAATAGGACTGAAGCTGTTAGAAAAGGTGCGGGAAGGAGACATAGGGCCTCTGACAGATTTTGATTGGAAAAGGGTTTTTAAGTGGAGAGTGGTTAAGAATATATCAATAAGATAAAAAGAAAATGTGTACAAAATTATATGGAAATGGTTTACCACACTAGTTAAACAACATCTGATGGATAGCAAGCAAAGCAACCTCTGCTGGAGGTGTGGCATGCACAAAGGGACATATTTTCATGTATGGTGGGAATTCCCCCAAGTGAAGAGTTTTTGGAATATATATTTATTGAAATAGGTTTGGTTTTTTTGTCGTGACAGGAGCAAGTCGCTTCTGGTGTGAGAGAATTGGCCATCTGCAAGGACGTTGCCCAGGGGACGCCCAGATAATTTGATGTTTTTATCATGCTTGTGGGAGGCTTCTTTCATGTCCCCGCATGAGGAGCTGGAGCTGATAGAGGGAGCTCATCCTCCTCTCCCTGGATTCAAACCTGCGACCTGTCAGTCTTCAGTCCTGCCAGCACAGGGGTTTAACCCACTGCGCCACCAGGGGCTCCATATCGAAATAGGTAATATTATAGGACTAAATATTACACCGGATGCTAGGTTAAGATTACTAATGGATGCCACAAAGTTGAATTTGGAAATGGAAAAGAAAGAATTGGTGATTATTTTACTCACAGTGGCAAGAATTATAATTGGAAAATAGTAACTAATCTTACACCAGAAGCATGGTATAGGGAGGTATGGAACGTAGCCTTAAATGATAAACTAACAATGGAAATGAGGGTATTCGGGGGGAAACTAAGAGATCAGATTTTGATGCATACTCATCAGTTTTTATTAAATATGCATTGGAGAGTGAAAATGGAAAATAATATAACCTTCTTGCTTAGGAATTTTGGGAGTGACATTTGATTAATGGTCGATTTATAAATATATGGAAAGGAAAAGGCTTATGTGTTTTGCTTACACTGTAGGTTGTTAATGTATGTAAATTTTAAAAAACTACAAAACTTAAAAAATCAAAGGACTCCTGACAAATGGCTATCCAATTTCTGTTTAAAAACCTCAAGAGAAGAAGACTCTGCCACACTCCAAAAAAGTATATTCCACTGTTAAATAACTCTTACCTTCAGGAGGTTCCCTCTAGTGTTTGAGGGAATTTGAATTCATTGCTCCATGTCCTAATATCTAGAGCAGCAGAAAACAACCTTGCATCTCAATGTGACATCCTTTCTAATATTTAAACACACCTGTCATGAYCCTCTTATTGTAGCTTCCCCAGGTTAAATATACACCTAAGTTGCCCCTCGCCAGGCTTAGCTTTCAGACCATTTTATCTAAAATGCTGCATTGTCTCTAATGCAAATTCTTGAGAGTAATTCATCTGGTCTTGGACACTTGAAGTTATTTAGATTAACCAGACATTCCTCTACTGTCTCTTGACCCATTCAATAATATATTCCCCCTATTGCATCATCAGATCAATTATGCCCAGGTTTAGTACTTTTAACCTTTGGGGAGAGGAGTGCGGTAAAGAAGGTGCTGAGTAGAATCATAGAATCAAAGAGTTGGAAGAGACCTCATGGGCCATCCAGTCCAACCCCCTGCCAAGAAGCAGGAATGTTGCATTCAAATCACCCCTCACAGATAGCCATCCAGCCTCTGTTTAAAAGCTTCCAAAGAAGGAGCCTCCACCACACTCCAGGGCAGAGAGTTCCACTGCTGAACGGCTCTCACAGTCAGGAAGTTCTTCCTCATGTTCAGATGGAATCTCCTTTCTTGTAGTTTGAAGCCATTGTTCTGTGTCCTAGTCTCCTAGTCTCCAGTAGTTCTCCCTTTTCTCTGTCCACTGTTAACAGTTCACCAGAACCTGTATGTGGTGGCACTATCATTTCTTTGTTCTTCCTTATTCTATACACATAACCAAAAAGCCCTTTCCATAGAGGAGCATGGCCATTCCTGCCTAAAAACTCATCACTTCCACATTATTTACAAGATCATCACTGTAGGTTAGGATCAGATCTAAAATAGCTGATCCCCTTGCTGCCCTTTCCATCTTCTGGATTATGAAATTGTCTGCAAGGCAGGTGAAGAAGTTTTGGACCTGATATTCTTGACAGCATTTGTCTTTCAACAAATATCCAAATTGTTAAAATCTCACATTATTATTACACCTCTCCTTTCTGTTCCAGTAAGGCACCATCCAAATCCTCAGTTTGGCTGAGACCTGTAGTAGACATCCACAATGACATCCAAGTAGTTTCTTTCCCCCTAAATTTTTACCCTGGTGGTCTTAACTTAGCTTCCAGCATTTATGTAATGGATATCTTCATCTCTTTAAACATCCATGACATAAAATGTTACACCTCCGCCATTCCTGTGTGGTCTATTTCTACATTACAGTCATGAGGTTCATCCTATTAGGTTTCCACCCTCTCAAGTAATCCATCAAATGCAAGTTACAAGAGAAGAGTTTCTGCCTAAACATTGGGAATAACATATTAATTGTAAAAGCTTCTCAGGAGTGGAACAGGAGGGTGGTGAACTCTCCATCATTTGAGGTCAACTAACAGAGGCTGGTATCTTTCAGCTTCATTTTATTTAATGGTGCCCCAACAGCAGGGAATCACAGTACTTTGTTCTTTATAGGTCAGATCTTTTTCCAAAAACTTCCCAAAATACTCGCCCATACATAAGCTAATTTCTTGTTGTCATGTGTCTTCAAATGAATTGGGCATACGGTAACCCTGAGGCTAACAAATATTGGGGATTTTTGAGCAAGATTTGTTGAAGGAATTGGGTTGCCTTTGCTTTCCTCTGATACTGAGAGTCTGTGAACTGCTTGAGGTCATCCAGTACTTTTACCTGTACTAAATCCCAGAAATTCTTTTCTAGCGACAAAATTTCCATCCTTGTCCAAAAAATGGTTGGGATTAAATTTGTGTGGCGTTTCCCAGTACTCATCATCACGAAGAACAGAGAGTAGATTAGGTGCAACGATTGTCCCCTGAAAGAAACAATTAGCAGACAAGTAAACACACACACACATCTCTCCCTTCGAAATGGGATTCAGTGGAAATAGTCTGCCTGAGAGCCTATCATAGCCTAACCATGTATTTTGCAGTTGCTGAGATGCTTCCATACTGCAAATCTACACTCACCTAATTATGGTTGTGTTATATCATTCATCTAACTCAGTGTTTCCCAATCTTTGGTCCTCCAGTTGTTTTGGACTTCAACCCCCAGAAATCTCAGCCAGTCTACCCTGAGTCTCTCCAGGGAGATGAGGTGGAATATAAATAAGTTTTATTATTAATTGTGGAAGCTGAAGTCCAAAACATCAAAGGTTGTGGAGGGCTCTAGTAGAGATTGACTCTTCCAGTATTTGCAGCAATCTTGGAAGGAGTTAATCTGAGGAAAGCATCACAGGCTCCTGTAATTATCTGTACAGCCTTGCTGAAATGAGCAGTAGCTGAGATCTCATGATAATGGTGTCTGGAAAAGAATAGCTCTTTGGCAGCAGATAATGATGCACCTTTTGTACCCTAATCCTGGATCTTGACTCTACTGCCCCTGGGTAGAATAATGAACTCTGACCTTGGCTCCCATAATCCTGATCCAGACCCGAATCCTTGACTCTGAATTTTGACTTCCTGGTTTGATTTGTGGACTTGGACTTCCATTTGTATCCCTGACTATCTGGCATGACTTCAGAACTCTCACTTCATTTTGTACTCTTGACTTTTAGTCATGCTTTGTGAATTCTGATAGGTAATGTCCTGGCTTCTAACTGTTGGACTATAACCATGGCTACTGTTTGTTCTTGCACCTGACCTGGCTCTACAGTACTCGGCTTGTCTGCATTACTTGGACTCTTGAACTTGACTTGTGTTTATTGTACTGCAATTCTGATATTTTGAAATACATTAATTTTCTTTATAATATAGTCTTGGCATACCTTGCTTTGGTTTAAAAAGACCTTAGCCTTGTCTTGATTAGTTGTAACAAGAATAGAACCATTCGACCAATTATTGGATGACAAGTTAACATGTAGATAAATCCAGAGGATTTAATGAGGAAGCAAGTATCACTTAGATGTCTTAGATTTCGCGACATGAATGTACTGGTCATGGGAAAGAAACAAAATGAACTGAGCTTTCACATGGCAAGGCAGATATGCTATGATAGCCAAACTTGAAACCACATAAAAAGTCATATACAAGCTTCCTCTGAACAAATTCGAGCAGGAAAAACCCCTTGATGTGTTCACCTTAGGGTCCCCATAATTGGGAAACAACTTGAAGGCTCACATCAGTCATGGAGTCTTTCTGGAAAGATTAGTTTAAAGGAGATTTGCCTTTTCTTCTTCTGCGTGAAACTTGCCAGTCATCCAATGAATTTCCATGGTCAATTGGTGATTTGAATCCTGGTCTCCAGAATCACATTCCAACACTATTATCCTATGCTAGCTCTGTCTGTGTGGATACATCTCTCAAAAAGACATTCTTCGAACAGCTAAAACTTTTATCTATACCTTTGGGATGATGAAACCTCTCATGTGGACATCTCTGGTAGTTTGCCTTGGAATTCCAACTATCGAGGGAAATCTGTAACGCTGGATTTCATGAATCACTGCATGAGTATAAGGCAGTCTTTTGTGGTCATCATAGCAGATATTAGAGGAGCCCATAACATCTTCTATCTCCTTGAAGATTTTATCTGAGGAAATATATGGAAATGGATGAAAGCTATATTTCAAATATTCAAAAATTGAATAATTGCTGAAAGATTTATTATTATTATTATTATTATTATTATTATTATTATTATACCTACGAGTCGATCACATTGAATTTATTATATTTACATTCAAAAATTTTCCACAAAAGAGTTCACGGCCCTATGTGAATCTGAACTTTTATACATCTCTTTAACTGATGAGAATGTTTTTTTAAAACTGTGTCCTAACACTGAAACCGTTTCATGAAGTGCAGAGTGGGGAGGGGAAAGGGGACAGGGGAGAGTCTCTGGCAGTTCCCCAGGACATGCCCCCTTCCATCCATTGGGACTGGGGAGTACAGTAGGAAGGGAAGCACAGAGTTGAGAGAGACCCTCAAAGGGCACCCAATCTAACCCCCTTCAGACAGGAAGGAAGGCATAGTCAAAGCATCTCTGGATGGCCATTCAGGCTCTGTTTAGAAACCTCCAAAGAGGTTGAATCATTGCAGAAGTGGAGTGCTGATGATGTTCAAGGGAAGGCACTGCTGTAATGGAGCCCCTGGTGTACAATGGGTTAAACTCTTGTACTGGTAGGACTGCTGACCGATAGATCAATGGTTCAAATCTGGGGGGAGCAGGTTGAGCTCCCTCTGTCAGCTCCAGCTCCCCATGCAGGGACACGAGAGAAACATCCCACAAGGATGGTAAAAGATCAAAACATCCAAGCATGCCCTGGGCAACATCCTGGCAGATGGCCAATTCTCTGACACAAGAAGCAACTTGCAGTTTCTCAACTGAAGAAGAGCCAAGGGCTGCAAAAAGAGCATCAATGAGCCACAGACTGCATTCTTCATATTCGGATTCAGAAAAAGAGGTTCATCCCACAAACCCTAACAACTCAAATGAATTCTGGGGAGAGCCTGAAGATCCGTGAAATGGTGAGACCCTCTAGCCCTAAAACTGGGGGGAAGGGAGGCATGGGAAGGCCTCCCATGTAGGCCAATGGGACAAAAAAAATTGTTCACTCGGACAAAAGAACAAAACAGCTCATTCAGAAAGGCCTCCTTTTCGGAAGCTACACTCAAAAATGAAAACGGGGCCATATAAATGAAACAAACAGAAACGGAGAGCAATTCTATACAAAAGCACAAGCCTACACAGAGCGGCTATAGAGGACTACATAAGAATCAACTGTAGTACATAAGAAGTGTGCAGGAAGAATGTCCAAATTTCATTTATTCATTAAAGATTATATGAACCATGCTTATTTGTATCAAACATGAAATGTTTGGAAAGCTCTGCCCTAGAATGACAGCCCTACTCATGCCTACTGAGACTTGGTCCAAAGCCAGTTTGCTGCAACCATTTCCATTTAGATTGTATTGCTTTTGCATAAATAAATTGGATATCCTTGAGAGATTTACTGAGACATGTGTAACAGTACCTTTACTTGACAGAAGACATTTTGGGTTTGAATAAAGTCCTTTTCCCTTGCTATATATGCTCTGAATATGTTTGACAGGTCATGCAAATGGGGACATTTCATGCATCCCTTCCCATACAAGGTATGGACTCCATGACAGTGATATAAAAAGGGCCCTGTGTGTGCAGCTAGCTACCATAACCTGATAGAAAAGGGTTGTGTCAAACTTTGTAGATATTTTTGTGCTAATTGCTCCTGATATGTTAACATACTTTTTTTTACAGCATAAAAGGTTTCATTTAGTACATGCTCCTTTTTTCTATATCCACTAGGATAAACATATCCATTCTTCACCTTCGATATCTCCTGCATTCTTCCTTTTTGGTAACTTTTCCCAACTTTGAGGCAAATGCTTCCTTTTTGCCATTATCCACATACTTTCTGCAGAAAGTTCTCTTAACCTAATTTCAGTAAACCTTTGCTATCAAATGCTATTTTTTATTCATTCATCAGTCATTCCTTCTCTGTTTGTCCACAAAAATTTTATTTGTTCAACTAATCACAAATCGTCTTTCTTCTTCATTTAGAACATATCCTTTGAGAGTTACAACATTTCTATTAAAAATACTGTTGGCACAACTGGGGTCAGAAGTAGCCCCTTCTTTGTGTTGCACAATGACCATTTTTACCTTGGACATCTGGACGGTTTGCCAAAATGATGATTGCCCATTGTATAATTGTACTGGTAGTTCCCAATGCACCGAAATAGATGTCTAGAATAGAGTGCATCAGGTTCTCTTCGTCCACGGTAGAAGTGGGATCATTCTTATTCTTCTCCTGAAAATATAAAATGTGAAGTAGAATTTCTGACTGATTGGAAAGCCACTCTTCAACGCTGCCTTTCCTCTTGTATATGTGTGCACGTCTTGAAATTGGATGTCACCTGTTGACGTATAATAACCCCATTTAAAGATGGAGAGAAAGAAGATCCAGTACTTACTTTCTCCATTTCACGCAGGTAGTAATCAATGTAATCCCGTGGCTCCTGTGCGGACTCTTGCTCTCGATGTTTCCGTATTTATTCCTTTGCTAGTGAAAGCAGCATCTCTGTGAACTCCATTACCTTCTTATGAGGCCCTGGAAGGTGGTCCATGATCGATGGAAACAATTCATACAGCTACAACAGATGAAAGCAAAAAGCCTGCCATTATTCTGGAGGAGGCTAGGAAAGACAGTTCATTGACCAAAGCAGGTTTGACACACACAAATTATTTTGAGATAGCTAAATTTCCTGACTGTAAAAAAAGAATGGAGGTGAGGAGGAGGAGGAGGATACCTGCTCCCTTCTTCCATCATTTTCTTCCACAATATATTCTGAACTTTCCCTTCCTAAGTAATTCTCTGTCCTCCCATTTTCTCAGCTCCTTTTCCATTTCCCAGCTTTCCTTTTTGACTAGTACTTTTCATCTTTGTTCTCAGCTTCCTTCCAATACTGCAAATTGAGGGTAAATTTCTTTGACCCTCAGTCAGCAAGAGGAAGGAGTAAGGCTCAATCTAAAACAAACTATGGCTGCCTTTCTGCTTTGAGTATTCTTTCTCATAAAAAACTGTTGTCATCTTGATCACATTTGATGTTGTCTTGCCCACATATTCTCCAGTTTCCATAAGTAAAATGTTGGTCTGTGTGCAATGGACGCATATAGTGTCACTGCCAGGGTTGGTGTCAACCAGTGTGGTAACAGTGCAAACTATTAGAATTTCAGGTGTATTTAATTAGAAACATGTGTTCTCCTTTCCCAAATTTTGAATGTTAATGTATTGTTGCCATGAATGGTTTTCTAGTGCACACCCTGAAGACGGTCAATAAATCATATAAATACCAGCATGATGGATCTAGTAGAAATCAGGATAATCATAAAACGTTAAAGAATAAAACATACAATATAGAATTAACACAAACTTTGCAAAAAGAAATAAGACGGCACGTGATGTGATTGTGCACTTTGTAAACAAGACGACAAGAGATGAGGTCCTGAGATTAAATAACAGAAGAAAGATATATTATAAAGGAAAGAAAGTAATTATCTTAAAGTAATATCCGGGAATAGTGTTGAAAAGAAGGAGAAAATATGCCCCGCTAACAGAGGAATTAAAGAGACAGAAGATACGGTTTAGATGGGAAAGAGAAGAAGGACTGATGTTGACATACAAAGAACAAAGATATTGGATTAAGAATGAGGAAAGAGCAAATGAGTTTTTAAAAAGAATATTGATGGAAAGAGAGAGAGAGAAGGGAGAACACACAAAGGGAGGAACAAAGAAGAAAAAACAAACAGACTCGCCAGAGGAAGAGGAAACAGAGAAAGAAGGACTGAGAAGGATTTTGGACGAAGGAGCAGGGATACTGGACCTGAGTGATCCAGAGGAGGAAGAAATTGAGGAAGAAGAAACAAGAGAGGAAGAGGAAGGATTAGAAGAGGGAGAGCAAATAACAAGAGAAAAAGAGGAGGAAAAAGAAACATGCTGAAGAATCTGAGAATTTACTCTAACAATGTTAATGGTATGAACTCCCTGTGTAAAAGGAATAAAATATTTAATGGGCTAAAGAAAAAAGGATATCATATTATTGCGCTACAGGAAACTCATATCATGAGCAGACACACAAAACACTTGGAAAACAAAAAGTTTGGGCAAGCATTTTATGCAGCTACACAGGAAAAAAAGAGAGGACTAGTGACGTATATAGATAACAGTATAAGGGCAGAACTAGCCTTTAAGGATAAAGAGGGAAGATTTCTGGGGGTGAATATATTATTGCAAAAGAAAAAAAATACTTATATGTAACATATATGCGCCGAATAAAACTAAGACAAAATTTGTAGAGAGGCTGAGGAACAAGAATTTGAACAAATGATAATGCTAGGAGACTTCAATGGCATGCTAAATAAGGCATTAGATAGAAGCGTAATAAAGAAAAAGGGAGGGAGAAGCAACGACGAAAAGGGAGATCTACCGAAATCAATGACGGATATGATGCAGAAGTTACATCTAGTAGACATATGGAGAATAAGAAACGAAAGGAAAAAAGACTACACATATTACTCATCAAGACACCAAAATTGGTCGAGAATAGACATGATTTGGATAACATCATCATTACAAATAAATGTGACAAAAGTACTAATTTTGCCCAGGATGGATTTAGATCATTGCGCGATGGAAATTGAGATAGAAATAACAGAGAGAACGAAAAGATGGCGATTGGATGAGAACCTGCTGAAAAGGGAGGAAGATATAGAAAGAAATTGGAACATACTAAAAGAGTATTTTGAAATAAATGATGGGCCAGATATTCAAATTTTTACACTTTGGGAGGCAAGCAAAGCCGTAATGCGAGGAAATTTTATAAGAAATAATAAAGAAAAAACCAGGAAAATGAGGGAATTGCTCAAAGGAATTGAAGAAGAAGAAAGAAAATTAAAAACAAGTCCAAAAAATAAAGAAGCAAAACAAAGGTTAGAACATTTACATAAACAAAGAGATTTTCTAGAAACAGAAGAAAGAGAAAAAGAACTGAAATTTATAAGACAGAATTACTTTATGAATGCGAATAAACCGGGACAATGGTTGGCAAGCAAAATAAGAAAAAGAAAGGAGGCAACATATATCACGAAACTGAAAGATAAGGGCAGGCCTATAATCCAAGAAGAAGAGATAAGGGGACAGTTTTATGAATTCTATAAAAAACTATATCAAGAGGAATATATAGAAGAGGAAGAGATTTATCAATATCTAATCAATCATAAGATACAAAGGATTTTGGAGGGACAAAGGGAAAATCTGAATAAAGAAATATCAGAGAAAGAGATTAAAGAAGCTATAAATAAACTGAAGCCAAACAAAGCACCTGGGCCTGATGGAATATCGGCAAGATATTATAAGATTTTTCAGCAAGAACTCTTACCCTATTTAAAAGAAATGATGAACAGAATAAGAATATACAAGGAAATACCCGAAGCATGGAAACAAGCAAACATCTGCCTTATACACAAAGAAAATTCGGATGCGGAGGAGGTCAAAAACTACAGACCGATTTCATTGTTGAACGTGGATTATAAGATCTTTAGTATGATAATGGCGGAAAGATTTAAGGGATTACTGAGTGAATATATAAAAGAGGAACAGGCGGGATTTTTGCCAAATAGGTATCAAAATGAAAATGTAAGAACAATTGTGGATCTGATAGAGTATTACAAAAGCAAGAATCAAAACAAAGTAATGCTACTAGCGTTAGACGCAGAGAAAGCTTTCGATAATGTAAATTGGATTTTTAAAAAAATCATAATGAAAGAGATGGATTTGGGTTTTTATTTCCAAAACGCAATAGGGGCCATATATGAAAAACAGGAAGCAAAAGTTCTAGTAAATGGTAAAGGAACAGAGAGTATCGAAATAAGAAAAGGGACAAGACAGAGGTGCCCATTATCACCGCTAATCTTTATTCTTACCCTAGAATTTGAAATTATGAATGTGAAATTAAATGATTTAAAAATCAATGAAAATCGAATGAGAGAAATGGAAGATAGATGGACAAGGGTAATGAATAGGGCTGGGCGGTTTCGTTTCGTTAATTCGTAATTCGTTAATAATTCGTTAATTTTTTCAATTACAAAACGATAATGAACCATTCTGGAGCAATTATTAAAAAAAACGAATTTTCAAAAACGTTTTGTAAATGCTTCGTATTTCGTTATTGTATTCGTTTCGTTATTGTTCTGAGGTCGTTTCGTTATTATTTCCGCATGTCTGGGGCAAGTTTTTTGTTTAATTAGTGAAAAAAAATTATAATATCACACCAACAGTCAACAACAGAGGGAGAGGGAAGCTTCAGAAGTTTTTGGAGGTTTTTTAGCGTATTTCGCGGTCGCGTCCGCCATTAACGAATCGATTCGTTATTGTTTCGGAAATCGATTCGTTAATTTTTTACCATTTACGAAATTTCGTAAATATCGAACTCTTTAAAAGGAAAATTTTGTAATTATTTAAAATATCGAAACAAAAAAAACCCCCAAATACAAATCGATTTTAGAAACAAATTTTTCCGTTGTTACCCAGGCCTAGTAATGAACTATATTATGAATCATTCTGGAGATCAGGTCATAAGAAATAAGATACAAATGCTATATAGCATACAGGATGGAAATGTATAAAGATAAAGAAATAATGATTGTCTCAAAAAGAAATGAATATGTGAAAGATAATAATCCTCATGTTGGTGGTGGGAATTGTAAATGTTTTGTGTGTGCAAGGTATGTATTTTCTGTATTGTAAAAATAAAAAGTCGGGGGGGGAAGAAATCACAGGAGGAACTGAACACAATGGAACAAAAAGTGTCATGGTTGGAATATTGGACTATAAAGGAAAAATATAAAAATGATATGAAAATTGGCTTTAATCAGGATAAAAACTTTTGGGATAGCGTAATGGAATCCAAAAGGAACTTAATAACGAAAATCTATAAAAAAATTGTTAGAATGGAAGTTAGAATCTAAAGGAGACAAAAACTACAAGAAGAGGTGGAATGAAAATATCAGAAGAAATATTAAGGAAGAAGAATGGGAGAGAATTTGGAAAGAAAAACTAAAATATAGTTACGCCATAGATTTGAAGGAGAATTGGCTGAAGACCGCGCACTGCTGGTATATGACACCGAAAAAATTAGGGAAGTGTAACAAAAGTATCAGTACAAGATGTTGGAAGTGCAAGGAGAAAGAAGGTTCATATTTTCATATCTGGTGGACCTGTAAAATGGCAAAAGAATATTGAAAAGGGGTTCAAAAAGAATTACAGCAAATTCTAAAAATTAAAATTCCATGGAAAGCAGAATTATTTTTATTCAGGATGCATGAGCTGAAAATAGATAAAAACTCAGACAAAATTCTTTTTCTAATAACAACGGCAGCAAGGATTTGCTATGCCAAAAGATGGAAACAAAAGGAAATACCGGACGAGAATGAGAGACTAACAAAAATTTTGGAAATCAAGAATATGGAT